TAATATACATATTTATTTATATATTTTTAACAATAGTTTTTCTATCTTAAGTATTTACATACAGCGTGTGTAAAAAAGGTCAGAAACCTGAATAACTCGGAAAATATAAATTTTATAGAAAAATGTTTCGGACAAAAGTAGGCCTTAAAAAAAATTATCCGACCTTTTTACACACTCTGTGTATTTTTTTGCGTTACACTTTTATAAACCAAATAATTAATTTGTTTCTTAACGTGAGTGTATACTGTATACATATATGTATATATATTGTGTATTAGAAAATTCCATAAGTTCTTGAAATTTTTTAAATAACTTTATTTATAATAATTAAACGGAACTTCTTACCCCTTCGGGGGGCTGGTTGTTATCGCATTGAGGTAAACTGTTACTAAGAAATGAGAGTTGCCCTTTAATGAAATATTTCATTTTTTAATAGAATAAAACAATTTTATAATGTTTATTTATTAATTTTCAAATAACGTTTATTATTAAATTTCGGGTTAATAACATATATTAAATAAAGTAACTCGATTAAAACTTATTCCTTCAAGAGTCCTTATTGAAAGTCTTGGATTTTTTTCTCTTTTCTCTTATTTAAAAAAACGCTTAGCCAATCACGACCAGCCATGCTATTCTTGTAAAAAAGATGGAATGTTCTTAAAATATCGCACATTCATATGCTAATTTTCTTACTTTTTGCAGTAAAGATCAAAATGGATCGAGAAGCATTTAAAAAATATTCTGTCAGTTTTCATTTTAATTTTTTCATTTTAATTTTTTCATTTTAATTTTTTCATTTTTCTCATTAAAAGCCAACGTCTTCTTTTTTAATAATAAAATATGCAGTGTTAAATATGTTTGTTTTTCAATCTTTATTTGAAGTCAAATTAAAAGTATATTTTGTTAGCAATTATGAGCTATCGTAAATATATTTGCATGCAAGTTAAAAATATAACGTTATAAATATAAAAAAAGGAATGCCCTAAAAGATTACGCGTTTTGCATTTTAGCATTTTGCATTTTATATAAACTTAATCCCAGGAACTTATGGAATCACCTAATATATACATATGTATGTGTATTATTGTACATTAATAAGTAGTTAAAGTTTTTTCTTAACGTGTTTTTCTCTCTATGTGCGTTTATAATAATTAAGTTTTATTGTATATACATATTATTTATGTATTTTATATTATTTACCCACAGCAACCGTAAGCAAACTTACTATGGAAGAAGCTACTGCACAAAGTTTCATCTTTTTCGTAGCTGGATTTGAAACAAGCGCGACGACAGCCACGTTCTCTCTATACGAATTAGCTCAACATCAAGATATACAAGACAAAGTTCGCAAAGAAATCAATGAAATATTAGCGAAACATGGTGGTTTGACCTACGACGCTGTGAATGAAATGACATATCTACATAAAGTAGTAAATGGCAAGTTATAGACTATCGCATATTGTTTCCAGTTTACTTGATAACGCAATTTTCAACAAAAATGAAAACATTTTTCTTTTATTCTTTGATAATATTTTGTCATTAACGAGTATATTTAACCTTTTATCGGCAATGTGAAATTTCAAACCTATAAGATTTGAAAAGTAGGTCTTCAAAGTCCGTAAACCTTTTTTTAAAGTTCCGCGCTATATAAAATTTAAAATAATTCATGCGTACTTGTGAAATTTTTAACAAGTTTTTATCGTCATATAAGTCAGATCGCATATTGATTATTTTTTATAAATGTAAATATCAAATTTTTAATGTGCTAAATGAAAAAAGATTCATTTAGATTATAAGTTATAATACTTGAGAGTTTTTGAAAAAAGAGTATGTATTTTAGAAAAAATATTATAATGATATTAATTTTAAAAGTTAAATTATTTGAACGTTTAAAATAAAAAAAAAATTTATGAGTAAAAATGCAAGCAAAGAAAAAATACGTTTTACAGCAGAATAATTATAAAAATTTATTCAATTATATACCATAACAAATGCAAAAATATAAATTGTAATAATACGAAGCTTATACAAAAGTGTTTTTAAAAAATTTTTAATTTAAAGATGATATAAAACTTCAAAAATTAGTTTTAAAGCAAAATGTTTATATATTTATTAAACTTAGCATTAAGAACATATAAAATACGAAAAATTCAAATGTTTAATTTATAGTTGAAAATACACAGTCTGCAATATGGATTGCTAAACGCAGACACAACTTCTATTCATTGCAAAACAAACAACTGCATACTGGCGTTTTTGTACGCACACAATCTTAATATTTATACTTTTTTTAGGATGGGACACCAAATCTCACTATCTATTCATCCTCTTAAAATTTACAATTAAATAATTAATTGCAGTGTTTTAAAATATCCAATTTGACGGAGAATTAAATAAATTGCTTGTATTTTGGAATACATACACCTATATATGTTTTTCTTTACATATTGTAGAGACTTTGAGAAAATACCCACCTGTTCCAATACTGAATCGCATTTGTACCAAAGAAATAAATTTACCGACAACGGACATTCACCTGCCAAAGGGGACATTAATAACTATACCGGTACTTGGATTACATCGAGATCCGTCAATATATCCAGATCCAGATAAATTTGATCCCGAACGATTTAATGCAGACAAAGTAGCAGAAAGACATCCTTATGCTTATTTGCCATTTGGAGAAGG